AGCGTCGACGTCTTCATGGGCGTCTTCAGCCGCGATGGGGGCATATGATCCGTTAACGTCGTCTCACGTTACCCTAGAGGAGGATCTTGTACTTCTCCGGCGAGGGGACGTGGTTGAGCAGGACGCGGCCGTCGAAGGACAGGGACGCGAAGACCCAGGCGTCGCACGAGGACCAGGCGACGGCGACGACCGCGTCGTCGTGGAGGTCGTAGTCCTTGACCTTGACGTCCGGCGCGTCGGGGGCCGCGGTACCCGCGGACGACGTCACCGCGGACGACGCGCCGTCGCCCTTGGCGTCGTCGAGGTCCAGCTCGAGGAGCGGCGCGCTCGAGATCGACGACACGCGCCACAAGTTGACGAGCTTGTCGGAGCCGCCCGACGCCAGGAGCTGGTCGTGGTACTTGTTGTACTCGAGCGCGCCGCACCAGCCGTCGTGGCCCCGGAGGATCTTCAGCGGCGCGCCGCCGCTGGCCCGCAGGTCGTAGAAGCGCACCGTGCCGTCGGCGTGGGCCGTCGACACGGCGCCCGGTTTGTTCGGGTTGCTGTCGACGGCGAAGCAGGGCCCGCCGTCCCCTGCGACGACGAGCCGCGGCGGTGCGGACGACCGCGCGTCGTAGGCGCGCACCGCGCCGTCGCGGCTCGCGACGTGGACCTCCGCCGCGTCGTGGGGGCTCCAGGACGCCGCCGTCGCCCGGGCGCCCCCGAAGGGCGCCGCGACGTCGACCGCGAGCGTGGGCTCGGCGGAGGCGGCGACGTCGTAGAAGCGGAGTTTCGCGCCGTCGAGCGCCGCGAGCGCGTTCGGCGCGCCGTGGTCCCGCGGCGACCAGGCGAGGGACCGGCAGGGCCCCGCCGTCGCCGCGCCCGCGAGCGCGCGGAGGTCCCGCGGCGCGACGGCGTCGCCCGCGGCGGCGCCGTCGGCCCAGCCGCCGTCGTCGCTCGCGTTCGAGACGGCCCGCCGCAGCGCGGGCTGGTCGCGGCCGAGCACGCCCGGGCCCTCGCCGTCGCTCAGCGCGTCGTCCGCCGCGCCCTCGCCGAACTCGGCGGCGTCCAGCGCCCAGACCGACGCGTCGGGCCCGCCGCCGCAGCTCGCGAACGTCGACGCGTCCGCCGGCGACGGCGCGAGGGCGAAGACCTCGCCGGCGTGCGCGACGCGGCCGACGCAGCCGAGGCGGTTCGACTCCTCGTCGAAGTCGAGCACCTGCACCTCGTTCTGCTCGCGGGCGCCGCCCGTGCCGAGCACGAAGCGGTGCTGCGTCGTGTCGGCGGACACCGCCGACAGGCAGCGGCAGCACGGGAACTTGGCCGCGGCGTAGGTCGTCGATGACGTCGAGAACATGGTTGTTTTGGTGGTCACGCCCACAGACGCGGCGTCGACGCCTGTGGCGCGGCCGCGACGATGCCCCTGAGTACTCTCGCGGCATCATGTCGATGATGTCGTGAGGAGCCGGCGGTGCAGCGACAGCCCGAGGAGTGTTTACGGGCTGATTCAAAGAGCATGGAGCCCGCCCGGGTCGCCGCGACGCGCGACGGCGCGACGCACACGGAGCACGTGTCCGTGCGGGTCCGCGTGCGGCCCGGCGGCGGCGGCGGCGTCGTCGCCCTCGACGACCGCGTCGCGGCGATAGGAGACAAGCGCTTCGCCTTCGACCGCGTCCACAACACCACCGCCACCCAGGAGGAAATCTACGCCGAGGCCGTGGCGCCGCTCGTCGCGGGCGTCCTGGACGGGTACAACGCGGCGGTGCTCGCCTACGGCCAGACGGGCAGCGGCAAGACCTACACCATGGGCTGCGGCGGCGGCGCGGTCGCGGGCGCCGCGCGGGGCGTCGTGCCGCGCGCCGTCGCGGACCTCTTCGCCGCCGCGGACCGCTCCGGCGGCGCGCTGCGCGTGCGCGCGACCTACGTCGAGATCTACAACGAGGAGCTCGTCGACCTGCTCGCCCCGGCCACGCCGAGCGCGAAGCTCGCGATCCGCGAGCTCGGCAGCCGCGGCGTCGTCGTCCAGGGCGCGCGCGACGTCGAGCTCGCGACGGCGGACGCGGCCCTCGAGCTCCTCGCCGCGGGCAACGCGAGCCGCACGACGAAGGCGACGGCGCTGAACGAGACGTCGAGCCGGAGCCACGCGATCCTCACGCTCGCGGTCGAGCGGCGCAAGGTGCTCCTCGAAGAGCGCGCCGGGTCGCCCGCGGACGTCCGCGCGTCGACGCGGCTCGCCGTCGTGCGCTCGAAGCTCCACCTCTGCGACCTGGCGGGCTCGGAGCGCGCGAAGCGCTCGGGCGCCGAGGGCGCGCGGCTCCGCGAGGGCATCGCCATCAACTGCGGCCTGCTGACTCTGGGCAAGGTGATCTCGGCGCTGAGCGACGCGGACCGGAGCCGGCGGCCCGTGCACGTGCCCTACCGCGAGTCGAAGCTGACGCGCCTCCTCGCCGACTCGTTAGGGGGCACGGCGCGCACGGTCATGCTCGCCTGCGTGTCGCCGGACGGCGACGACGCGCCAGAGTCCGCGAACACGCTCGGCTACGCCGCGCGCGCGCGCAACATCAAGAACGACGTCGTCGCCAACGCGACGGTCGTCGTCGGCGGGCCCGACGACGCGCCGGCGCTCGACGCCATGAAGCGCGAGAACGCGAGCCTGCGGGCCGAGCTCGAGCACGCGGGCGGCGCGCTCCGGCGCGAGAACGACGCGCTGAAGGCGGAGCTGGCGCGGGCGGCGGCGCCGCGGCCGCCGCCGCCGCCCGGCGCGGAGGACCCCGAGGCCGCGGCCTGCGCCGCGGCGCTCTGCGACGGCCACGGCGCCGTCCTCGCCGCGCGGCGCGCGCTCCGAAACCTCGTCGACGACGGCGCGCTCGACCGGAAGACCAAGGGCGCTTTAGTGGACATCGCGAAAGCCCTCGGCGACAACGGGCCGTCGCCCTTCCTCGCGAAGCTCCGCGCGGGCCCCGTGCGCTGCGTGCTCGACCTCCAGGGCGCGTTGGAGCAGCGCGACCGCGACCTCGCCGCCGTGCGCGAGACGCTCGCGGACGCGCGGGGCGACCTCGCGCGCGACGAGGAGATCTTCTCGGCCAAGGCGCGCGAGGCGCGCGAGGCGGCGAAGCGTGCCGACGCCGCCGAGGCGCGGGCGGCGCGCCTCGAGGACGACCTCCGCGCGTCGGAAGCCGCGCGGACGCTCGCCGACGCGTTACTGAAAGAGGCCGTCGCGAAGCGCAAGTCGCCCATGAAGAAGAAGCGGCGGGGCGACGACAGCGACGACGACGACGACGCCGCGTCCCTCGACGCGCGGCTCCGCGCGTCCGCGGCCCAGGCGACGTCGAAGCTCGCGCGCGACCTGGCCGAGGCCGAGCGCGAGAAGAGCGAGCGCGAGCGGTCCGCGCGGAAGCTCCAGGCCCTCGAGAACGACATCGCGCTCAAGGAGTCGTGCATCGCGGCGCTCGCGGCGTCCGAGGAGGAGGCGAAGCGCGCCGTGCGCCAGTACGAGGACCGCGTCGCGACCTTGGAGCGCGACTGCTCCGTGCTCCGGTCGCAGCTGGACCCGAGCCAGCGCGCGCGCGACGCCGAGGAGCTCGGCGCGCTCAAGCGGCAGCAGACCCTCGAGCTCGGCAAGGTCGAGGCGCTGCGCCGCGCGTCGGAGGCGCGCCTCGCGGAGCTCGGCGACGAGGCGCGCGCGCTCCGCGACGAGCGCGACGCCGTGTCGCGGGGCCTCGACAAGGAGAACCGCGAGGACGTCGAGGCGCGCGACAGGCTCGAGAAGCGCGCCGCGCGCTGGCTGCAGCGCAAGCTCGACGGCGTCCTGACGCGGGCCGACGAGGAGCGGCGGAAGCTCGCCGACGACGGCGCGACGCGCGAGGGGCCCGCGGCCGCCAAGGCCGCGCTCGACCAGCTCCGGCGCGACCTCGCGGACCTGACGCCCAAGCACACGAGCGCCGCGTTGTTCGAGTCCTGCCGGCAACTCATCGCCGTCAAGCTCGCGCGCGACGCGGCGGAGCGCGAGGCCGCGGAGCTCCGGGGGCGCCTGGCCGCGCCGACGACCGTGACGCCGCCGAAGCCCGTCGGCCCCGTGCTCGACGCGCGGACCGTCGAGGAGTACGAGTCGAAGATCGAGTTCCTGCTCCGCGAATTGAAGCAGCACGAGAGCACGCCGAGGTAGGGGTAAAACATCATCGGCTTTTAGGGGACCGTGCACCACGTGGGAGGGGCGGGGGGGGGAGGCGCAAAAGGGGGGCGGGGTTGGCTCCGCGCGCCTAGGCGATGACGCAGTTGAGCTCGGAGCAGGGCGCGTCCTCCTGGCCGAAGGTCGTCGTCATGCAGGACGAGTCCGCCGCGCCGTCCTTCGCGTCCGGGTTGACCTGCTCGAGGAAGGCGACGACGTCGTCTCGCTGGGCCCGCCGCGCGACCTCGAGGGGCGTGCGGCCGTGGCCGTCGATGGCGCGCGGGTTCATGCCCTTCTCGACCGTGAGGTACGTGACGACGTCGAGGTGGCCCCGGTAGCACGCCATGTGGAAGGGCGTGATGCCGTTCTTGCCGCGCGTGCAGTTCACGTCGCGCGCGACCAAGAACTTGACGACGTCGAGGTTGCCCTCCTGGCACGCGAAGAAGAAGGGCGTCGAGCCCGCCTCGTTGATCGGCTCTAGGTTGACGTCGTGGTCCGCGAGGAGCGACGCGATGTCGAGGCGGCAGTGCTGGCAGCAGATGAAGAAGGGCGTGTTCCCCTTGGAGTTGGGCGTCTCCAGATTCGCGCCGCGCTCGATGAGGAAGGACACGATGTCGATGTAGCCGCGGTAGGCCGCGATGAATATGGGCGTCGCGCCGTCGTGGATGGGGTGGTCCACGTCGGCCTTGCACTCGACGAGGTACTTGATGATGTCCAGGTGGCCGTTCTGCACGGCGGCGGCGAAGGCCGTGCCCCCGTGGATCTCCGCGTTGACGTCGAGCGGCTCCTCGCTCGCCTCCTCGACGATGCGCCTCACCTCGTCGATCTTGCCGTCGTAGCACGCCGTGTAGCACTTGAGCGCGCGGCTCGACACCGGCGCCGACTCCATGGCCGATGCGGCGTCGACGAGGGCGGCGAGCCCGGGCGGGACGGCGGCGGCGAGCCCGGGTGGGACGACGCGATGGCTGGGCTGCGCGCGATTGAAAAGCTGCCGATTGGCAGCCCGCCCGAAGTCGTTGAGGTCGGCGCCGCAGACCAAATCTCGCGAGGTGCCGCGGCGGTATCACGACGAGCGCTGAGCGCTGTTGGTCCGCGGGCTGGTGCCGCGCGGCGCGGCGACGCTCTCCGTCGGGGCCGGGCGGGTTTCGCCGCCATGGCGGACTCCGTGACGGCGTCCGTCGCCGAGGGCAAGTCCCTGGGCGGCCTGGAGCGCGAGCTCCACGCGTCGTTCCAGATCTCGCGGCTGCCGAGCCACGGGAACAAGTTCGAGCACGAGCTGCTACCCGTGCTCGAGAGCGACCTCGAGTCGACGGAGAGCGAGCGGGGCATGGTGCCCATCGTCATCGTCGGGCCGCCGGGCTGCGGCAAGTCGACGCTCATCGCGGAGTGGCTCGAGCGGCGGAGGAACCGGAGGCAGAGCCCGCTCGACCAGCAGCAGAGCAACGAGGAGTTCGTGTTCACGCACGTCGTGGGCTGCACGCGCCAGAGCCTCCAGGTGCGCGAGCTGCTCTGCCGGCTCGTCAGCGAACTCGTCATGCACTTCGACCTGCCGATGGTCCACGACTTCGACCCGGAGAAGCTCGCGTGGGACCTGCCGCGGCTGTTGGAGGCCGCGGGCAACAAGGGCTCGGTTTTGCTCGTCATCGACGGCTTGCATCGCCTCCGCAACGACCAGGGCGAGGCGAACCTGAGCTGGCTGCCCCAGGAGTTCCCGCCGAACGTCCGCGTCGTGCTGTCGTCGACGATGCCGCCGGGCTTCACGATCGACGACCAGGCGGAGCTCGAGGCCAAGGCCGCGCGGTCTACCCAGCAGCGGCGCCTCACGGCGGACGTCAACGCCGAGGCCGAGGCCGCCGCGGAGCGCGAGCGCTACAAGAAGAACCACGTCATCATCGGCGAGGCGGGCCGGACGCAGAAGCGCGTCATGGCCGAGCTCAAGCGGCGCCGGTGGCAGCTGCGGCGCATGAAGTTCAGCGCGTCCGTGAAGCGGTCCATCATGCGCAATTTCCTGGATAGCGCGACGCCCGAGGTCGTCGAGGAGGAGGGGCCGACGGACGAGTCCGTCTACCTCACGGCGATGCTCGAGAAGATCGACGACGGCGGCCGGGACGAGGAGGACGACAAGGACCCCTACGACGAGGGCAAGTCCATGAAGCTCGACCTCTTCGCCCAGCAGCATCGGGTGCTCGAGGACATGCCGACGACGTCGCTGACGCTCGCGACGTTCCTGCGCGCGCTCGTCTGGTCCGCGTCGCGCGGCTTCGACGTCTGGAGCCTGCAGGAGTCGTGGCTCGGCGCGCGCGCGCCGGGCTCGAAGACCTCGCCGTCCAAGGCCAACGACGCGTCGACGTCGACGACGGGCACGGGCTCCGTGACCATCCAGGCGCCCGGGTTCGAGGAGGACGAGGTGCCGTCGATCACGGCGGAAGCGCTCTTCCATAGCGTGTTGGACACCTGGGAGGCGGGCCACGAGCTCAAGGACGACAAGAAGCAGAAGGCGCGGCGCTGCTCCCAGATGGCCGGGTCCCTCATGGGCGTCGCGGCGCGCGCGAGCCAGATGCGGCGGCCCGACACGGCGGACGAGTCGGACGCGAACGAGGACAGCGAGCTCGACCAGAGCGGCGAGGCCGACGACCACACGTCCGTGCGCCTGTCCTGGACGCGGGCCCAGAATCTCGAGGCCCACGAGCTCGAGGGCGCCGCGCCGACGACCGCGGCGTCCGCGCTCGACAAGCCGCCGACGCCGCAGACGCCTTCGGGCGCCGCGGGCGCGGACGGGCCGCAGACGGGCCGCGCGAAGCTCAACAGCCGGGGCGTGCCCGTGCGGTCGCGGGGCGGCGGCGTGCGCGCGCCGCTCCACAAGTCGACGGCGGCGAACGCGGCGGCCATGGCCGACATCCGCTGGCGCCACAGCCAGAACAACGCGGACAAGGCGCTCGCGCGGACGCGGGAGCTGGCGAGCTCCATCACGGACAAGCTCCTGGAGAACGCCCTCGACGCCGCGGAGTCCCACTCCGGCGGGTCGAAGCGCCACGGGTTTCTCGAGGCGTTCCTGCGGGACCTGGACGACATCCACTTCGTCGACCGCGACATCGTCTTGCTGGCGGACGAGACGTCCATCGACCAGTCCATCTCGTCGGGCGGCGCGCTGTCCACGGGCACGCGCGACGGCCTCGTGGCGGCGGCGCTCGCCGGCGACGCGACGACGCTGGACGTGGAGGAGGGGTCCATCGAGTCGGCGATCGTCTGCGCGATCGGCTCCGCCGTCGACGACGCGTGGGCGCTCCACGGCGAGGCGCCGGCGGCGGCGCCGGGCGCGACGGGCGCGCCCGCCGGCGCGCCGGCGCCGGCGCCGGGGCCCCTCGTCGAGGGCTCCGCGCGGCCGCTGGAGCCCGTCG